CTTCTTGCTCATCTCCGGTGCAGCTGCAGCAGCAGCCTGCCCCGCAGCCGCAGCTGCAGCCGCTGCCACCCTTGCTGCAGCAGCAGCAGCAGCAGCAGCAGCAGCAGCTATGCGGCGCTGACTGGGGCACCTCCCCTCAGGCCTGTGGCTGGGTTCAACTGCTGCAGCAGCACCAGGCGAAGCAGCAGCAGCTGCTGCAGCGGGAGCAGCTGCTGCAGCAGCAGCTGCAGGAGCTGTGTCTCATCACAGCAGATCCTCTGAACTCTGCAGCTCCTCTTCCTCCGTCCGCCGTCAACCTGTCATTGCCCGAGCAGCAGCAGCAGCAGCAGCAGCAGCAACGGCCGCAGCAGCAGCAGCAGCAGCAGCAGCAGCAAAACTTGTCGAAAGGCCCTCAAGGATCTTCGCCGCGCTCTAGGGCGCTGCTGCTGAGGGGCCCCTGGGGGGCCCCCCGCCGCCGCAGCCCTTCTGGGGGCCCCCAGCGGGGTCCGCGGGCTGCAGACGCAGCAGCAGCAGCAGCAGCACCAGCAGCAGCAGCAGCAGCGACGACAGCAGCAGCAGCAGCAGCAAGGGCCCAGGCAGCCGAAGAAGCCCGGCTGCTGCTGGCAGCAGCAGAGCTGCGCAGCGACTTCGCGCGGCAGCTGCCGAAGCAGCAGGACGCGCTGCTGCTGCTGGTCTCTGTGCCCACCAGCATGCCCAGCAGCAGCAGCAGCAGCAGCAGCAGCAGGCTTCCTGGCGCTCAGTTTTGGGGCTCGGCTGAGGCTGCTGCACAGCAGCAGCAGCAGCAGCAGCAGCAGCAGCAGCAGCAGCAGGCAGCTGCTGAGGCCACCCGCGAAGTGATTTGCTGCAGGATGCGGCGGCAGGGTGGCCTGCTGCTGCAGATACAGCAGGTGCTGTGCTGCCCGCAGCCTGCTTGGCAGCAGCAGCAGCAGCAGCAGTTGCTGCTGCAGCAGCCGCTGCTCTTTCTCCTTGCGGAGCAGCCCCAAGGCAGCAGCAGCAGCAGCAGCAGCAGCAGCAGCAGCAAAGTCCGCAGAGGGAAGCAGCTAACTGCTGAGCTCTGCAAGGCCTATGGCTGGCCGCATGCAGTGCCTCAGGAAGTGCGGCCCCTGGCTCTTGGCTCTGCTACCTGGCTGCAGCTGCAGCAGCAGCAGCAGCAGCAGCAGCAGCAGCAGCAGCAGCAGCAAGCTCCGCAGAATGCCACTAAAGTCTATGCAACTGTGAGCCTTTTCGAGCTGCAGCACGGCAGCAGCAGCCGCCAGCGCAGCCGCAGCGGTGATGGCGTGCTGCGTCACGCCCAGCAGCAGCAGCAGCAGCAGCAGCAGCAGCAGCAGCAGCAGCAGTTGCTGCTGCTGCCGCTGCGACGAAATCCACCCGCAGGCCAGCTCTTCGTGCATGCGCAGCTGCCGAACTCGCTGGGTCGCCATCAGCAGCAGCAGCAGCAGCAGCAGCAGCAGCAGCAAAGCAGCAGCCATTTGCCCCTTCCTGGTGTGCTGCCAAGGTGTCCGCGCGCCGCAGCTGACACAGCAGCAGCAGCAGCAGCAGCAGCAGCAGATGAGATAGAGGAATTGATTCCTTCTGTCCCCCCCACACCGCATGCCCCAGAACAGCGCCTCCACTTGAAAGGCCTTGCATCTCCTGCAGCAGCAGCAGCAGCAGCAGCAGCACCAGCAACAGCAGCGGCAGCAGCAACAACGGCAGCAGGAGCTGCGCATTTGGCGATGCTGCTGCAGGACGTGCAGCTGCTGCAGCCCGAGAGCAGCAGCCTGCTGCAGTTTGCATGCAGAGTCAGCAGCACGACTCGCGTTGTCTCGCGGCCAGTAGCCGCCGTTTGCAGCAGCAGCAGCAGCAGCAGCAGCAGGAGCAGCAGCAGCAGCAGTGGCAGCAGCAGCGAGGACATTGCGTGGCTCGTGTCGCCGGAGCCGTTTTGGGTCAGGTCTCCAGCAGCAGAAGCAGCAGCAGCAGCAGCAGCAGCAACAGCAGCAGCAGCTGTTTCCTCTCCTCTGGTCTTAAGACAAGGCCTTCCACGGCGCTTGACTTTGGAAGCTTGGCTTGCTGCTGATGCCCCAACAGCAGCAGCAGCAGCAGCTGCTGCTGCTGCTGCTGCAGCTGATGATGGGGGATATTTGGCTGCAGGAATGAAGTGCGTTGGCCTGGGGCACATGCCCCTGCCCGAGGACTTGTCTGCCCTGCAGCAGCAGCAGCAGCAGCAGCAGCAAAAGGGGCTGCTGCTGGTGGCAGATGAAGAACTCGTGCTGCTGTCTCTCCTCACGCAGCAGCCGCTGCTGCGCTGCAGGCTGCGCATTCTTGCGGGATCAGCTGCATGCATTCGGAATCTCAAGGCTTCTCTGCAGCAGCAGCAGCAGCAGCAGCAGCATTGGGAGCAGCAGCAGCAGTGGGAGCAGCAGCAGCAGCAGCAGCAGCAGCAGCAGCACCAGCAGCAGCATGGGGAGCAGCAGCAGCACTGGGAGCAGCAGGAACACCAGCAGCACCAGAAGCAGAATCGGGAGCAGCAGCAGCACTTGGAGCAGCAGCAACAGCAGCAGCAGCAGCAGCTGGAAGAACAGCTTCGAGAATTACCGGAGCAGCAAAGACTGCAGGAGCTGGATGAGCAGCAACAGCTACTCCAACACCGGCCGCAACAGGAGCAGCAGCAGCGGCGGCCGCAGCAGCAGCAACTTGAGCAGCAGCAGCAGCAGCAGCAGCAATTGCTGCTGCAGCAAGAAGATGAGAGGCAGGCCTCGCTGCCTCAGCCGCTGCGGCAGCCGAGGCCGCGCACCCCGCCGAAGTACCCAGCAGCAGCAGCAGGAACAGCAGCAGCTGCTGATGCTGCTGCAGCCACAGCAGCAGCAGCAGCAGCAGGGGATGCGACCCTTGCTGCTGCTCACCGCGCACTTCTCCGCCTGGATGTTTCCGGCTCGAGACTTGCTGCTCTCTTTGCTGAGCAGCAGCAGCAGCAGCAGCAGCAGCAAAAGCGGCTGCTTAATATGAAGGGGCCCCGCCCTTCGCCGCATGCAAGGGCCTACACAGTTTACGTGGCAGCTAGGTAGGTCACTTTCCGCGTTTGCTGCTGCAGCAGCGAGCAGCAGCAGCTGCTGCTGCTGCTGCTGCTGCGGCGCACTCGCCTGTAACTGCTGCTGCTGCTGCTGCTGCTGCTGTGGTTTCTGCTGTCTCTGCTGCTTTTGTGGCTGCTGGCTCGCAGTTGCCAGCTCTCGATGTCTGGGGTGATCGCAGTGGAATTCTCCTTTGTGCTTGCTGCTGCTGCTGCTGCTGCTGCTGCTGCTGCTGCTGCTGCTGTTGCTGCAGCTCACTGCAGTCGCAGCTCGCCTGGGTCGGAATGAGCATAGCCGAAGGGCAGCGGCTGGTGCATGCGCTGCTGCAGCAGCAGCGAGGAGCGCAGCAGCCTTTAAAGGAGCTGCTGCTGCAGCCCACGTTTGCTGCTGGGTTCAAAGCAGCAACAGCAGCAGCAGCAGCAGCAGCAACTGAGGCGCTCACCCCCGGGGGCTATGCCTCGACCCGCTGCCCGTCTGCCAACATTGACGATGCAGCAACAGGAGCAGCAGCAGCAGCAGCAGCTGCAAGCGACTGCAGCAGCCCTGCAGCTGTGCTTCAGCTGCCAAGCAGCAGGAAGGCTAACCAAGCCTTGCTGCAGCTGTCGCAGGAGCCGCAGCAGCAGCAGCTGCTGCTGCTGCAGCAACAGCAGCAGCGGGAAGAGAAAGATGAAGAAGTGTCCCTACAGCTTGCTGCAGAGTACATTGAGCGCCGCAGAGCAGCAGCAGATGCTGTTGTTACTGGGCTGCTGCAGCAGCGATATGAGCAACCAGAAGCAGCAGCAGCAGCAGCAGCAGCAGCACAAGCATCGGCAGCGGCAGCTGGTGCTGCTGCTGAGGGTAGTGTTGGGGGGGTCGCGCGACGGCTGCAGCAGCTGCTGTACTCGCTGAAGTCACACGAGCTCTCTGCCAGCAGCAGCAGCAGCAGCAGCAGCAGCAGCAGCAGCAGCAGCTCTTGGCCCCGGCCAGCTGCGAATGGCTTGTCTGCTGCTGTCTCTTCGCAGTCTTTCTAGCGACACTTCAGAAGCTGCGCAGACAGAAAGAGCTCTGGTGCTGGAGCAGCTGCTTGCAGCAGCAGCAGCAGCAGCAGCAGCAGCAGCAGACCAACGGGCGACAGAGGCAGCAGCAGCACCAGCAGTATCGCCTCGCATAGATCCCGGCAGCCACTGCCCTGCGCTTGTCCGCTGCAGCATTTTGCTGCAGCAAGTAGCAGCAGAAGCAGCAGCAGCAGCAGCAGAAGCAGCAGAGACAGCCCCAAGGGCTGCCCCTGGTAGTTTGGTTGCACGGGCACTGGCGCCTGAAGGAGCAGCAACACGGCCCCGCTCAGCAGCAGCAGCAGCAGCAACAGCAGCAGCAGCAGCAGTGGCAGAAGGCTCGAGCTGCGCGTACATTCCAGACCCTTTGGAAGCTGCTGCTGCAGCACGATCTCGGCAGGCAGCAGAAACTGCAGCAGGCGCAGCGCAGCTGCTGCTGCAGCGATATTCACTTCTGGGGAAGCAGCAGCAACAACTGCAGCAGTGGCAGGGTGAGGCTGCGGGCGGCGAGCAGCAGCAGCAGCAGCAGCAGCAGCAGCAGCAGAAGGACCCTCATAGGCCTCCTCCCGCCTGCCTGCCGCTGCTGCGGTGTCTGTACGTTCGGCTTTTGCTGGGCTCTATCGGCTGCAGCGATGTGGTGGTTGTGCTGCAGCAGTTCCTGCGCAGCGAGCAGCACCGCGCTGCTGCTGCTGCTGCTGCTCCTGCTGCTGCTGCTGCAGCAGCCGCTCCTGTGCAGCTCCAGCTGCAAGGCCTCGAGTCCGCAGACACTGCTTTGGGTGTCTGGACAGCTCTAGGCGTCCCCGCAACTTCACCTGTCGCAGCAGCTGCTCTGCAGTGGCTTCTCTCCTTTGTTCCCAGCAGCAGCAGCAGCAGCAGCAGCAGCAGCAGCAGCAGCAGCAGCAGCAGCAGCAGTGGCGTGTTGATGGAGGCGGCCCACTCGGCGTTTGCTGCGCTGCACATGCGCCGCCACAGCTTGCTGCTGTGGCTGGATGTTCCGTGCGGCCTTGCTGCAGCAGAAGCAGCAGTGTTTGGGGCAGCAGCAGCAGCAGCAGTAGACGTGGCTGGAGAAATGTCTCTAGAAAGCCTAGATGACTGTGTGTCTGCTTCTCGCTGCTGCCGCTTGCTGCAGCAGCTGCTGCCTGTTGCTGCAGCAGACACCAAGCTGGTGGCCCTGGGAGCCCCCAGCTGGCTCTCGGGGCCCCCTCCTAATATCAGTGGCTGCGCAGCCCCCGCAGCAGACACCAAGCTGGTGGCCCTGGGAGCCCCCAGCTGGCTCTCGGGGCCCCCTCCTAATATCAGTGGCTGCGCAGCCCCGGTGCTGCTGCAGCAGCTGCAGCAGCGCGCAGCAGCAGTTAAGGAAGAAGTGCTGCAGCAGCTTCGCGGGGGCCACGCCGCGCTAGCAGCAGCAGCAGCAGCAGCAGCAGCAGCAGCAGCAGGTGATTCCAATCACGTGGCAGTCCCTGTGAAGTTTGACCGCGCCTGGGAGGAGGCCCACCGCTGGGTTGTGGCTGTGCAGCAGCAGCAGCAGCTGCAGCAGCTGCAGCAGCAGCAGCAGCAGGACCCCTGGCTAGTCAGAGAAGGAGTGCTAAATGCAGAGGAGTGGCAAGAGGCGCAAAAGGCAGCTCTCAGTCTTCCTCCCTTCGTCCTTTTTGCTGCTCTCCTCGCAGCCTCCAGGCAGCAGCAACAGCAGCAGCAGCAGCAGCAGCAGCAGCAGATGCAGCAGCAGACAGCCTCTCCTGGGCTTCTGGAGCTGACCACAGCAGAAACTGCCCAAGGGCTCGAGACAGTCCTCGGCCTTCCACGCCACGTAGGCACTTCACCTGCAGCAGCAGCAGCAACAGCAGCAGCAGCAGCAGCTGCTGCTGCTGCTGTTGTGTCTGAGCTTTGAGGGTAGATGAGCAGCCCGTGAGTTTCTTGCTGCTGCCTGCATGCAGCTGCTGCTGTCTGCATGCGGCTGCTGCTGCTTGCATGCGGTTGTGCTGCGCTGCAGCTAAGTTTGGCAGCTGCTTTGCTGCTGGACATTCGCGGCGAGGGACTCATCAGCTACACAGACTTTAGGAGGCTTCCTTCTTACCTGCATGCAGCAGCGCTCAGAAGCGACGTGCTGCTGCTGCTGGCAGCAACTCGCAGACAGGGGCCCCTCCAGAGGGCCCTGCTGGGGCTGGCAGCCCCGGAGCAGATTCCCCTTGCTGCTGCTGAGACGCACAAGGTGGGCTGTGCTGCTGCTGCAGATGCTGAGCTACTCCTGCTGCTGCTGCTGCTGCTGCTGCTGCTGCTAACTTTACCGGTGTGATTTTGCTGCAACGGCGCAGGTGCTGCTGCGCCTGGGGATGAGACCCGAGGCTGCTCGCGGGCTCCAGCTGCTGCTTCAGGCTGCTGGAATGAGCTGCAAGTGCCGCAACAGCAGCAGCAGCAGCAGCAGCAGCAGCAGCAGCAGCAGCAGCAGCTTCCCTTCTCTCTCCATGGTTCAGCAGTGGCTGCATGCAGCGAAGCAGCTGGCCCCGCTGGTGCTGCAGGATGTCTTTTGCTGCCTCTTTGCTTCTCAGCCCTTCTCCTCAGCAACTACAGCAGGCTCAGTTTCGTGCGTTGCTTCGAGCTTGCTGCTGCTGTCGCTGCTGCTGCTGCTGCTGCTGCTGCTGCTGCCCGCTCTGTGGCGTGCTGCTGCTGCTGCTGCTTCTGCTTTCCTTGCAGTTGCTGGGCCTGTTGCTGCTGCTTGTTTCACTAAAGGTGCTGTTTCTGGTGGCCGCAATCCTCCAAGGCATACGCAGGGCGTGACCCCGCTGGCTGAAACTTTGCTGCTGGTGCTGCTGCCGCTGTTGCTGCTGCTGCTGCTGCTGCTGCTGCTGCTGCTGCTGCTGTTCGCAGAGACGGCGGCTGGGGCGCCTGGGAAGGTTCCCGCGTTGCTGCCCTTATCGAAGCAGCAGGACTCAGCTCATTGGCGGCATCTGCTTCTTCAAGTCCGTCGCACTGCAGCAGCAGCAGCAGCAGCAGCAGCAGCAATGACAGCGATGACCAGGTGGCGCTGCTGGACCCCTGTAGGATCCGCAGCAGCTACAGAGCCTTTCAGCAGCAGCAGCATGAGCTGCTGCTTCTCTTGCTGCGCTCCCTCCGCACAGCTAACCTCTCCATTGAGGGTTTTTGCTGCAAGCGCCTGCTGCGGGCGCAGCAGCAGCAGCAGCAGCCTGCTGCTGCTGCTGCACAGGCACCTGAGGCAGCCGCTGCTTCGCTGCTTTGCCGCATCAAATACCACACAATACCCTCTGCAGCAGCAGCAGCAGCACTACCTGCAGCAGCTGATGTTTCCCGGTGGGTATTTGTAGAAGAATGCTCGTTGCTGCTGCTGCCTACCCTGGGCAGCAGCAGCAACGGCGCTGCTGTCGCTGCTGTCGCCTCAGCTTTGCATTTGCTGTTTGATGCAGCAGACCCCAAAGCCAGGGGAAGTGTCTCTGCTGCTGCACTGCAGCAGCTGCTGCAGGACGCTGAGCTGCTGCAGCTGCAGCGGGACAGCCGAGCCCTCGTGGCGCTGCGACGGCTTGAAGCCCAGCACGCCCCGCAGCAGCAGCAGCAGCAGCAGCAGCAGCAGGATTTGACATTAAGCAGTGGGGTCTTTGAGCTAGCAGAGCTGCTGAACGAGTCCTCAGCAGCAAAGGCGGAGCGACAGCAGCAGCAGCAGCAGCAGCAGCAGCAGCAGCGGCTGAGTGCAGCAGCTCTCCGCTTCCACCCCGCGCTGCAGCGGCTGCGGGAGAAGATGCTGACGAGCAGCTGGACCTTCGCAGATTTGTGCATACACCTGGGCTGCAGCGCGTCTGCTGCTCGCTCATTGACTTGCAGCAGCAGCAGCAGCAGCAGCAGCAGCAGCAGCAGGAAGGGACTCTCTTTGTATAGGACAGCTTTCCGCCGCTCTGCTGCAGTCCGGGCGGCTCTGGTCAGCAGCGCAGCAGCAGATGATTTGTTTGATCGCCTGGCAGTGCCTGAAGAGGCTGAGCCCCGTGCTGCAGCAGCACGAGCCGGCAGCAGCAGCAGCAGCAAGAAGCAGCAGCTGCTGCAGGAGCAGCAGGAACGCTTCAGCCTCCCCCTGCTGCACGTAGAAGACCTTCTTGCTGCACTTGCTTCTCAGAAGCAATTCTGGGGCGTCTGCAGCAGCGCGGCCTGCCGAGTCATGTTTTTGCTGCTGCGGCAGCGCCTGGCTTCCATTCAGCAGCAGCAGCAGCAGCAGCAGCAGCAGCAGCAGCAGCAGCAGCAGCAGCAAAGGCAGCAAGAAGGAGCCCCTCGCACGGAAGCCGAATTGCTGGCAGATCTACTCGTCGCCACTGAGCACGCATCCAGGAACCTCCCTCACTATCAGCAGCAGCAAGCAGCAGCAGAAGCAGCAGCAGCAGCTGCTGCAGCAACAGCAGCCGAAGGACAGGCACTGGTGTCGCGCCTAGTATTGCAGCAGACAGCAGCAGATATTGCAGAAGGGCTTCTAATTGCTGCTGACCTTGATGCCCTCGCTGACTGGTACGTGCTGCTGCTTCTGCTGCGGCAGCTTTTGCTGCTGCCTCTGCTGCTGCTGCTGCAGCGGGTGCGGTGGCTGCCGCTGCTGCTGTCTACGAGTTGCTCTTTCTTCCCCTAACTGCTTTCCCCGCGCCGCCGCTGCTGCTGCTGCTGCTGCTTCTGCTGCTTCTGCTGCTTCTGCTGCTGCTGCTGCTGCTGCTGATTGTAGGTGTGGAAAAGACCAGGGCCTTCCTGAGGGCGTTTGTGATGCTTCGATGGTTTTCCGGGCGATGGAAGATGCAGCAAGCCGCACCAGCAGCAAGCAGCAGCAGCTGCTGCAGTGCCTTGCATCTGAAGCACTTGCTGCAGCAGCAGCAGCACAGGTGAGCAGCGCCGCTTCTGCCCCACGCGTAAAGTAAACTGCTGCGACATTTGCTGCAGGGACTGGAAACTGCAGCGCAAGCAGCAGCTGCTGCTGCAGCCACGGCGGAGGGTGCAGCAGCCAGCGAAACAGCAGCAGCAGCAGCAGCAGCAGCAGCATGAGCAGTTTGCTGCACCTCTTGCTGCTGCTTTGTCTGCTGCAGGGGAGGGGCTTCCAGCAGGGAGCCAGAGCCCTCACTGTGGGTGAAGTGGCAGCAGCACTTGAAGCGCGGGGTCACAGAGTCTTTTCTTCAGAATTGCTGCTGCTGCTGACATCCCTGCTGCCGCAGCAGCAGCAGCAGCAGCAGCAGCAGCAGCAGCGGCTGCTGTTTGACTTGCAGCAGGGATTGTTGTACGTCGAGCCTCTGCAGGCTGCGCTGCAGGGCCAATTGTCTCCAGGTGAAGCTGCTGCCAGTAGCAGCAGCAGCAGCAAGGGCAGCAGCCAGGGTGCTGCTACAAAGCCATGCGCTGAGCTGCTGCTGCAGCTGCTGCTGCTGCGCATGCGTGCTGCTGCTGCGCTGCATTCCCTTGATGCTGTGCAGCTGTTCGCTGCAGTTTGCAGCAGCAACACAGACAGCCCCACAGCAGCAGATTGGCATGCAGCGATTCGGGCCTCACTGCCAGAGAGTGGAGAGAGCTGCTGCTGCTGCTGCTGCAGCAAGAGCTGCAGCAACAGCAGCAAAGATTGCCAGTGCGTGGAGTCTACAGTTGCTCGTTTGCTGCTGCTGGTTCAGAGTCCCCAGGATCTGGGGGAACTGCTGCTGCTGCAGCTGCCGCTGCTGCAGCAGCAGCTGCCAGCGCTCTTCCTGGGCCCCGGATCAGAGCAGCAGCATCAGCTGCTGCAGCAGCTACAGAACCTCAGCCAGCAGCAGCTGCTGCAGAAGGTGCAGCAGCTGCAGCAGCAGACAGGGGGTCGGGTGACCGCTAGGGAGTTCAAGGAATTCTTTTCCCGCAGGGGCATCGGCGCAGCAGCAGACCTCTGGCTGCTGCTGCTGCAGCAGCAGCAGCAGCAGCAACGGGAAGGAGAAAGTGCGGATGAGCAAGAAGTAAGCATATCGTTCCAGATGTCACATATTGCTGAAGCAGAAGCTGCGAATGGCTGCACTGCTGCTGCTGCTGCTGCTGCTGCTGGCCCTCCTGCGAGGTTGTGTCACCCTGCTGCTGCTGTTGCTGCTGCTGCTGCTGCTGCTGCTGCTGCAGATATCGCTCGCTGCATGCGTGGAGCTGCTCGCCCTTTTTTTGGACGAAACACAGCTATGTGGGGAGACAGTCGTCGTCGTTGACGTGTCGTTCAACGACGACGTCCGCTTCGGCGGACTACTCGAACGACGTCGCGCGTTTCGTCGGCAACGACGTCGCGTCGTCGTCTTCTACGTGCAGCTGCTGCAGCCGCTCTCTCGAGAGCCTCTTCTCCAGCATGAGGCGGAGCAGGTCCTCCGGCACGCTGCAGGTAACGCTTACTCTCGCGCTCGAGCAGCAGCAGCAGCAGCAGCAGCAGCAGCAAGTAGGGGAGCCGTTACAGTGGCAGAGGAAGCAGCAGCAGCAGCAGGCGCACAGCGTCTTTATAATGCCCTATGCTCGTCCTTCCTGCAGCACAACTTGCTGCTGCAGATTGGCACCCCACGGCTGCGTCCCAAGGCAGCAGCAGCAGCTGCTGCAGCAGCAAATGCAGCAAGCCGTGCTGCAGTCATGCGCTGCAGCTTCTTAGGCTTCGAAGAGCAGCTTCAAATAAATTTTTCCACAGCAGCAGCGGCAGCTGCAGCACCAAGAGTAGGTTCAAGAGCAGCAATTGAAGCAGCAGCAGCAGGATCAGCAGCAGCAGAGCCGCTGCTGCTGCTGAGTTCATCGATCCCATCCGAGCTGCCAGCACAAGAAAACGGCAGCAGCAGCAGCAGCAGCAGCGGCTGCAGTGGCTGCCCGAGCGTTCCTGGAAAAGTTGCTGCTGCTGCACTGCAGACTCTTCTTGAGCCCTCTGAGCCTCTTCTGCTGCTGCAAGTGCAGCAACAGCAGCAGCAGCAGCAGCAGCAGCACGAAGTAGACAACTGGGTCGGCTGCCTTGCACTGCGAGATTTGCTGAGGACTCTTGAAGACGCTGAGCCTCTTTCTGTCTTCTGGGGTTGCTGCTGCAGACGCGTGCTGCTGCTGCAGCATCACGCAGCAGAAGCAGCAGCAGCGGGAACGCTGTCGCCACACTACTCTAGCAGCAGCAGCAGCAGCAGCAGCAGCAGCATGGAAGTAGAGGTCTGTGTCTGGTTCTGGGCGAGAGCTGTGGGCCCCGAGACACCGCAGCCCCCTTTGCTGCATGCAGCAGCAGCAGCTTTCAGCAGCAGCACGGCTTTGCAGCACTTGCTGCCGCCTCTTCCGCTGCACCAGCCAAAGCAGCAGCAGGCCCATTCTAGCCACCAGCGGCAGCAGCAGCAGCAGCAGCAGCAGCAGCAGTTTCTGGCTGTGCGGCAGCAGCAGCTAGATGCTCTGCAGCACCAGCAGCTACGAAGAGGACAAGAACAGCAGCAGGAGGATGAAGAAGTGGACGAAAAGCAGCTGTTGCTGCAGCAGCGCGAGGGACTGCAGCAGCAGCTTGCACTGATGCAGCAGCAGCACATGCTGCTGCTGCAGCAGCTGGAGAGAGATGCACAGCACCAGCAGAAACAAACGCTGCCAGCGCAGAAGAGCACGCAGCAGCACAGTGCCGATCAATACTGTGTCCAGCAGCAGCAGCAGCAGCAGCAGCAGATGCAGCTGCAGCAGCAGATGCAGCAGCAGCAGTTGCAGCAACAGCAGCAGAGCCATGATGACCCTATAGAAAACTCTATAATTGCTTCTGCCGCCATTTCCAGTCTCGAGCAGCATTTAGCAGCAGCAGCAGCAGCAGAGGCAGCAACAGAAGCAGCAGCCGAAGTAACAGCAGAAGCAGCAGCAGAAGCAGCAGCAGAAGCCTATAGAAGACTCTATAATTGCTTCTGCCGCCATTTCCAGTCTCGAGCAGCATTTAGCAGCAGCAGCAGCAGCAGCAGAGGCAGCAACAGAAGCAGCAGCCGAAGTAACAGCAGAAGCAGCAGCAGAAGCAGCAGCAGAAGCAGCAGCAACATCTGAAAAAGAGGCATCTACGATCGGTGAGCTGCTGTTGACCTCGCATGGATGCACCGCGGGGCCAGTGGCCGCAGCAGAGCTGAGGCCAGCAGCAGCAGCAGCAGCAGCAGCAGCAGCTCCTCAAGATTCCGCAGCAGCAGCAGCAGCGGCAACAGCAGCAGCACCTCGAACTTGTGCTGCAGCAGGCCCTGGCCTTCCTGTCAGCAAATTCATGCGAATTCGAGTCGCAGATTTGGTCCTGGGGACATGGGAGCTCAGCCAGCAGCAGCAGCAGCAGCAGCAGCAGCAGCAGCAGCAGCAGCAGCAGCAGGCTGCCGTCTGGAACCTGCAAATCTGCAGACATGGGGGCCCCGACAAACGGCTGCTGCAGCGCTGGCGAATTCCCCTGCGGCCTTTGGGGGCCCCGGGGGCCCCCAAGCAGCTTTTGGTACTGGGGCCCCCAGTCTCCCCAGATGCTGCATGCATCTCTTTTCCCCAGCAGCAGCAGCAGCAGCAGCAGCAGCAGCAGCAGCAGCAGCAACTGCTGGTGCAGCGGCAGGAGCCCGGAGTCAGCGGAGAGCGACAAGGGTGAGTTCCAGTGGCCTGCCGCTTGCATCGACAGCTGCTGCTGCTGCTGCAAAGCAGCAGCAGCAGCAGCCGCTGCCGCTGCACCAGCTGCTGCTGAAGACACTGCTGACCTTTGCTGCTGCTGCTGCTGCTGCTGCTGCTGCTGCTGCTGCAGGGCATCTGACCACCTCACGTTTTGCCTGCTAAGGACCCACGAAGATCAGGGACCTCTTGAAGAAACAATTATTGGCAGTGCTGCTTTGGGTGTGCCAGGGGCCCCCGGGGGCCCCCTGGCAGAGGCAGCTCTTAGTTTGCTGCTTCACGAGGGGCCCCCCGAGGACCTGCTGCCAGCCTCGAGGCCCCCTCGGGGGGCCCCCTGCGAGGCCCCTTCGGCTGAGGGCCCCCAGGGGGGCCCCCCGGGGGCCCCCTGGGGGCCCCCTGGGGGCCGAGTCCTCGGGAGGCTGCTGCTTGCTGTAGAGCTAATCCCAGAAAGGGGGCCCCCAGGGGGGCCCCCAGGGGGGCCCCCTTCCTGGGCTGCTGCTGTGGCTGAACTGCCCCAAGGAGTTTTCTTGTGCCGCTGGGGGCCCCCCAACGAGACTGGGGGGCCCCCCAACAGGACTGGGGGGCCCCCGGGGGCCCAAGAAGGAGAATGGGTGACCTGGGAGGCCCTTTGTGCGGCTCTGAGGTGAGAGAAACTGAGCTGCTGCTGCTGCTGCTGCTGCTGCTGCTGCATGCTGTGCTGCAGCTGCGGCGTCTGCTGCTACAAACTGCGCTGCAGCTGCATCAGGAGCTGCTGGAAACTATGCTGCAGCTGCGGCGGCTGCTCCAGCTCCCGCTGCTGCTGCTGCTGCTGCTGCTGCTGCTGCTGCTGGCAAATGTGCTGCTGCTTCTCCTTCGCATGTTCTCTGTTCAGGGACAGGGGGCCCCCCGGGGCCCTGGCTGTTGTTAAGAAAGCTGTCAGGGGGCCCCCCGGGGCCCTTGTGCTGGCGAGGCCCCTTTTGACTCTTGGGGCCCTTTACAGACTGGCGAGGAAGCTGCGGCCCTTCCTTCCTGCCCTTCTTTCGGGAATGTGGCAGCAGCAGCAGCAGCAGCAGCAGCAGGAGGGAGGCCCGCAGCAGCAGCAGCAGCAGCAGCAAAATCGCGAGCAGTTCGGGTTTGGGCTGCTGCAGTGGAGCGAATTTCAGTCCCTGCTGCTTCGAGTGATGGACTCGGGAGCTGCGTCAGTTCCAAGCTCTGAGGAGCCCCCAACGGCTCTAGTCCCCAGCAGCAGCAGCAGCAGCAGCAGCAGCAGCAGCAGCAGCAGCAGTTTGACGGCGGAGGAGTGGCTGCTGCTGCACGGCTGCCTGGCCTTCAGGCACCTGTGGAAGACAGCAGCAGGCACAGCAGAGCTTTTCGATCTTTGGGCTGCTGCGCGATGCATGCATGCATGTCTTCTTTTGGGGCCCCCCGAGGGGCCCCCCTGCCGCGCAGCAGCAGCACCCGCAGCAGCAGCAGCAGCAGCAGCAGCAGCAGCAGCAGCAGGGACGCCGCAGGGGGCGAGCAGCCAGTTGTCTCCCGCACTGAAGGAGCTGCTAGACGTTATTGGGGGCCCCCCAGATGCAGGGTCTAATACTGTCTGTCCAGCAGCAGCAGCAGCAGCAGCAGAAGCAGCAGCAGCAGCAGCAGAAGCAGCAGCAGCAGCAGCAGCGCGTAGGGTCTCATGGGCCTCTGCTGCTCAGGCCCCAGGCCACCTCCTTGCTGCTGGGGGGCCCCCCAACTCAGACCATTTCAAAATAAAACTTATTGTGGAGGGGGCCCGGGGCCTCCGCCGCTGGGGGGGCCTTTTGCCTTCAACTTTTGTAACAGCAGCAATTTCTTTCGCGCCTTCTGTGGCTGCCTGCCTCGCAGCTTTGCCTTGCTGCACCCAGGGGGCCCCCCGGGGGGCCCCCCGGGGGGGCCCCGGGGGGGCCCCCCGGGGGGGCCCCGGGGGGGCCCCCCGGGGGACCGCCCAGGAGCCCTTCCAGGGGGCCCCCTGGGGGGGCCCCCAGGGAGCTCTTCAGGGGGTCCCCCAGAAAGCCTTTGTTCAGGGGGGCCCCCAGGGGGCCCCCCAGGAAGCCTTTCAGGGGGCCCCCCAGGGGGCGCAGCATCGGCACCTAGGGGCCCCAGAGGGGCCCCCGGGGGGGCCCCTTGAGTCTCTGCTTTATGCAGAACAAGACTCAAGTCCTGTAGTGTTTCGCAGCAGAAGTCCTTCTTGGGGCTGGTCTACATTGCTGCGGGGGCCCCCCTTGGCTCAGATCTGCAGCACTGTTGCTGCTGCTGCAGCAGCAGTTGAGGGGGCCCCCGGGGCCCCCGCCGCGAGCATGCCCGGCGCGGCCCTTCTCTGTGCTGCTGCTGCCAGCCTCAGGGAGGCCCTGGGGTCTGAGGCGCAGGGGCCCCCCCCATGCTTCTGGGACCCAGCAGCAGCAGCAGCAGCAGCAGCAGCAGCAGCAGCAGGTGGTGCTGCTGCTGCAGCTATTGCTGCTGCACTGGCCCCAGTTTTGGCAGTCCGCCTGACTGTGTGGCTGCTGGACGTTCGACCCGAGGGGCCCCAAGGGGCCCTTCCGCCACTTCCGGGGGCCCTTAGTTTTCCTGTTTTGCTGCAGCAGCTTCCCCGCTGCATGCAGTGGATGGGGGGCCCCCCCCAGCAGCCAGCTGGGGGGCCCCCCGTGAGCTCTGTGCCGCGGGGCTGGTACCCTTTGGGTCACGCACTAGTTCCCCTTGGGGGGCCCCCCTCGGGCCCCCGGGGGGCCCCCTTCTACCTCCGGCCCTACACACTGCAGGCGGAGGGCTTAGAAGCTTGCCCCAGCGCTGGTGCTGCTGCTGCTGCTGCTGCTGCTGCTGCTGCTGAGGTGGCAGCAGAAGCCCCTTGCGGTGTCTGTACAGCGGGTGCCTTCATAGAGTTTGCCGACTCATGTGGGGCCCCCGGGGCCCCATATGAGGCCCCTGGGGCCCCACATGAGGCCTGTGGGGCCCCAAGTGGGGCCCCCGGGGCCCCATATGAGGCTTCTGGGGGCCCCTAGACCTAACAAAGCCGACGCAAGGGGGCCCCCCGGGCCTTAGGTCTGTAGACTCATGCTGTATTTGTGCTGCCAGTCTGTCTTTCGGGGGCTGGCAGGGGCCCCCAGGGGCCCCCAGGGGCCCCCAGGGGCCCCCAGAACTCTTTTTTAAAACTGATTGGGGGCCCCTTTTCATTTTAAAACTAAGTAATTAGCTGCTTCGAGGCTGTCCTACAGAAGCCCATGGCAGCGCACTGGCGCTGGGGGGCCCCTGAGGCCCCCAACTAATGGGTCCTGTGGGCGCTGTCTCCTGCAGGGGGGCCCCCGGGACCTGCAGCTGCAGCAGCTGCTGCAGCTGCTGCAGCTACTGCAGCTGCTGCAGCTGCTGCAGCTGCTGCAGTGTAGAGAGAGACGAGTAGACAGGCTAGTGTGGCTATTGGCTACTTAGGGAGGGCACAGAGCCACCAGTGCAGCAGCTTCCTTTGCCAGGGGGGCCCCCCGAGGGCCCCAATGAAAGACACATTAAGAAGTTGAGGGTTTAGGGGCCCCTCAAGAAACAACAGGGGCCCCCAGGGGGCCCCCCTGGGGGCCCCTGCTCTCTCGGGCCTGGGGCAGCCAGTTGACTGAGGTTTCTTCTCCTTCAGAATGCATGTCTGCTTTTGGCTGGCTGCTGCTAGGTCTGGCCGTGCGCGCTGCTGCTGCTGCTGCTGCTGCTGCTTTTGGTGCTGCTGCTGCTGCTGCAGGCGTCGTTGCTGGCGTTGCTGCGCGAGGAATGGCGCTGGCTCTTTGTGTCTGTCTTGCTGCTGCAGCAAGCCTCGAGGATTCTCTGTTTCTTTCTCGTTGCTGCTCCATGAGTCTGCGTCTCTCAGCAGCAGCAACAGCAGCAGCCCCGCGGGCCCTTGCTGCTGCTGCCTGTGACAAGCGGGGGTTCTTAGGGCCCCCTTGGGGGCCCCTGGGGGGCCCCCGGGGCCCCGGCGTTGTGGCCCTGGCTCTATCTTGTGGGGCCCCCGGCCTTCGGGGGCCCGGGGCCCCCGGGGCCCCCTGGGGCCCCCTTGGCGGGGGGCAAGACTGCGAGCGCCTTTCGCTAGCAGCAGCAAAAGTTTCTGCTGCTGCTGCAGGCGCCACCGCTGCTGCTGCTGCTGCTGCTGCTGGAGGGGGTGCGGCAGCGGGGCGCGGGGGGGGGCCCCCCTGGTCGGGGCCCCTGCGGGTGCGGGGGCCCCCCGGAAGGTGAGCAGCAGCGTCGGCGAGAATGGCCTCTCTTGCTGCTGCTGCTGCTCGGCGGAGGAGGCCGAGGTCCTGCTGCGTGAGGGGGGCCCCCCAGGGCAGCAGCTGCTGCAGCAGCCCAATGGCTTGCTGCTGCTGCCCCACAGCGACGCGCAGCGAACGCAGGCAGGCCTCGTACATGCGGAGGGTTTGGTGGGTGCTGCTGAGTTGCTGCTGCAGCGCAGCAAGCGAGACTCTGTCTTGCGCAGCAGGTTTGTTCACGAGCCTCGAGGCTCGGTCTCCAAACCTCAAAGAAGACAAAGTTTCTTGTCTATTTCTGCTGCCGGGGCAGCAGCAAATTATCAACACAGCATAGGCCTTGCCCCCCAGGCAGTGCCGCAGCAGCCGCGTCAGTTTGCTTTCCCTGTACGGCACATGTCGCCTCCGGGGGGCCCCCCCCTGGGGCCCTTGGGGGCCCCCCGGGGGGCCCCCCGGGGGGCCCCCACGATGGCTCGCAGACTGGCCCCCGGGGGGCCCCCCAGGGGCGCCTCCGGGGGCCCCCGTCGATAGGCGCGCGGCGGCGGGC